GAAAACCCTCATTGTATAAAAAATTATGTACAAAAGTGACTATTTAGGTTGAGGGGAAAATCTCCCAACAAATTATCTTTGTTTCAAATTTGAAAATGCTGAAAAATGCCATAAATACACAAAATTCAGAAAAATTGCATGTTTTATTAACTACCCAAATGAAAAAGTCCCTATTTTGGTTTTTTTGCCCTCATATTTTTTTGAGCATTCTTCATTTAATAGTAACAGTTTGGTAACACCATTTCCAATAGACTGAGTAGAAAGATAATCAGTCTTTCCTCTAGCATGAGTAATGGAAGTGTTTTCCTTAGCATTTTTGGCAGTTTTACAATCATTATTGGTAATTTTTGGCAGTTTTACAATCATTATTGGTAATATCTGGTGACTCTTTAGGGTTGCTGTCAAATGTGGGGCATTACTATAAATTTATTTTTTACATAAGCTGAAAAATTTGAAAGAACTTTCCCCAGACTAACTTCTTGTTTCTCCTCTGCTGCTCACAAATTTCCAGCAGCAAACTTAATCATCGAGTTCACATCTCGGCATGCAAGTTCACATCATGTCACAATGTGGGAAGGATTCCTGAAAGCCATTCTATATTAGGACAGCTAAAGTAATAAGTACACGTGGTCGTGACTACCTGGCAGGGAGTCATAAAGATACCCGTTAAACCCAAAGTACAAGTATCTGCATCTCTCCCCCTTTTTTAGTCACTTCCTCCAAAAAGCCTGAGGCCACTCAAGCACAAAGAGAAGGATGAAGGAAGGGAAGCCAAACTGAAAAAAGGGAGCAGACAGGGTTTCACTATCTTATTATTACAGATTTTACAGAATATAGTGACCATGTGAACACACTATTTGGGCCCTTCCTAGGCCTGGCCTCTGCATAGCTTTAAGCAAATGATGCGCAATGATGTTGCAGCTTCTGTGCCTTCATAGGGTATTTGCCTCTTTGCTTAAGAGCCAAGTAAAAAAAAAAATAATAAGTATCATCAGAAGGAAATAATGAACACTATGAATGACTTGTTTTCCTTATATTTAAATAGTGGCAAAAGCTACTTTTTTAAAAGCTATTTTCAACTCCCCTTTTCAGGTCTTGATAATAGCAGGAGAGAAATAGACCTTTAAATATCTGAAACAGTTTAAAGGGACTGGCTCACTTAAAAGTTATTTGAATATTTCCTAGGACTATGAAAAAATTTCAAGGTATGCTTAAAACGTATTGATAAAATTGTACTTTTTTTTTTTTTAGAATTTATGTATGATTTTTTAAGAAATCCTCACTGGAGAATATGCTTTTTATTGATTTCAGAGAGAGGGAGAGAGAGAGAGAGAGAGAGAGAGAGAGAGAGAGAGAGAGAGAGAGAGAGAGAGAGAGAAATGAGAGAGAAATATCAATCAATTGCTTTCTATTAGCACCCTTACTAAGGATTGAACCCACAATCTAGATATGTTTCCTGACCAGGAATCGAACCCACAACCTCCTGGTATATGGGATGGTGATCCAACCAACTGGGCCACCAGGCCAAGGCTGTGTATCTTATTCCAAAAAAGAATTTAAAACATTTATCAAATCAGATAAATGTTATACAATACCAAAATAATATGCAAGGAAAAGAATTGTACTATGCAAAAAAAATTATACTAAAAAAGTACAATTATACTACATGCATTCTATATCAATTTGTTTTATTTTATAGCTGTTTAATATTATCTACTTCATTTCCAAAAATAAAATTATATATTAATCTATCAACCAATTAATTTTAGCAGTATTTTTTATTAAATATATAGGAAATGTGCAGTTATGATATTATAGTTATCTCAGTTTTTAGATGTGATTTTTATTTAATTATTCTCATATGTTAAGCATACATGCTAAACAAAATTTACTCAAGGTATGTCATGTTACTCCATAAATTCCATAAAGTATAATCTTAACTAGACATTATATTGGATTATAATAGCCTAAAATATGAGAAATAAATTTTCATAGTTTTATAAATCAATATGATGCAGATAAGTAAATTATCATAAAGTTTTTAATTTTTGCTGCCTCTTTTCTTTATTCCTTGATATGAATATTGAATTGAAAAATGAACTCAGACTTTTTATAAAAATTGGATTGCACTGATTGCTGAGAGAGATAACTTGTTTTGCTTAGTAGGTTGTCTCTAGACTATTTTCCACAAATTGAAGGAGATAAATCCCCAGCTCTAACATTTGGATTTAAAAAGGTATTTAAATATATGCTACAATAAAAGCATTTAATAAAAAATATTATAGCAGGGGTGTATGAAAATAATCAATGTTTTGATTTTTCCAATTCTTTCTGAATCTATTGGGTTATGCAAAGTGCCTCAAACTGGCATGATTAATTAATATTTGATAAATCTTAGTGAGGCCTGTTGATATAATTCTCTAAAGTTGAGAAATTAAAATATTCTGTTGACTAACAAATGCCTTTTCAAATCAAGTAACTTTCAATTCTTTCCTTTCAAAACAGTTGAAGACAGACCCTGTTAAAGTTGTCAGCTCATACATCATTAAAATAATTTTTTGATAATACGTCACCACATAATATTTGGCATGTGCTTCAAGTTTGAAGAATCGAGTAACATTGCTAGAAAAAGTCATCCATTCACATACTATTGTCTGTGTCTGTGAAGGGTTTTGTGTGTGCTTGTGTTGTTTTTTGCTTACTCCCTCTACCTTTTTCACATAGCCCTTCAATGCCCCTCCAGGTTGACAGCTATCAATCTGTTCACTGTATGGATGGAGGCAGGTAGGAGAGGGTAAATGAGAGAATAAATAATGATGGAAGGAGACTTGAATACACAATACAATATTCGGGTCCTGTAGTATAACATTGTACCTGAAACCTATATAATTTTATTAACCAATGTCACTTCAATAAATTCAATAAAAATTAAAATATTATTTCATTCCTATTTACTTAATTAGATCAGCAAGATCTCTCAGGCCTTACCATAAAAAAACAAAACAAAAAAAACCCCACATAGTGAATTAAATAAGATTGGTGTTCTACCCCATCCCATTTTAGCAACAAATAATATTCATCCAGGAATACATGAGCTTATCAAAGTAAAAATCAGCCCTAGTTATCTCATGATGAGAATCGTTTTCAATTAAACTCCACTCTGTTTAAATTGTTTTCTAAGTTTGCAATATATTTGTTATACTAACTGTATTTAAAAATATATGACTAATAGTTCTAGTTATAACTCAATCCAAAAAAATTTTTTTTGAACAATTAGAGCCTTATGGTCAAAACGCATTTAACAAACATAAAATTTAATTTATGTACATATTTTTGTGGCAGGTATGTTTTATAAAATTAACAAAAGAGTCAAGAATAAAAATAAAATGCAAGAGGATAAAAAGGTAGACAAGGTGAAATAGAATATTGAGGAGAAAATGGAGTATTTTGAAATTTTTCTAAGTTTAAAATTAGAAAATGTGAGTATTAAATTACTGTGGCATTGGTTACATGTGTTCTTATTTTCTTGTGGTAAAATACTTGACATTTACCTTCTTCATAGATCTTGTGTATACAACATAGTCTTGACTACAGGCACAGTGTAGTACGGAGAACTCTAGAATATATTCATCTTGCTTAACTGAAATTTACACTCATTGATTAGCGGCTCCCAATTCTCTCCTCCCCCAGCCCTTGCAACCACCCTTCTCCTCACTACTTTTTTGAGGTCAACTATTTCAGGTTTAATGTACAAGCAAGGTCTTACAATGTTTGTCTTTCTATGTGTGATTTATTTCACTTAGCACAATGTCCTCTGGGTTCATCCACATTGTCACAAATGGCAAGATCTCTTTCTGTGTTAAGGCTGAATAATATCCCAGTACATATATAGATATACATATATAGGTACATATCATATATATCACATTTCCTTTTTCCATTCATCTATCAACAGACCCTCAGCTCATTTCCATATCTTGGCTATTACAAATAGTGCTACAATGAACATGAGAGTGCAGATATCTTTGAGATTCTGATTTCAATGCTTTTTCATATATACCCAGAAGTGGGATTGCTGAATTATATGGTACAGCAATTTTTAATGTTTTGAGGAACCTCCATACTGTTTTCCCTAGCCCCTGCATCATTTTGCTTTTCCTCTAACAGTATTCAATGTTTCAATTTTTCCACATCCTCACCAACACTCATTTTTTTTTTAAATAATAGCCATCCTAACAGGTATAAAGTGATATCTCATTCTGATAGTTGTTTCAGAAGTATCATTTCCCTCATGATTTGTGACATTGACCATCTTTTCATGTGCTTGTTGGCCATTTTGTGTCTTCACTGGCTACATTTATAAGATTAGTATACTAGTTTTATTTTTAAATGACAATATTTATAACATAATGGAATTCCCACCATTTGAAATGTATGATCAAGGTTTTTAGATGGATTTTTAAACATATGCAAATGGAACGTTGGTTTTTAAAATAATTTCAAGGGTTACAGGAGGAACTATATGAAAACTACTTCTAATGGTGCTATAAATATATTAAGATATATTTTCTTTGAAATAATTTTATTATGTTCAAAGGATCATATAACTTAAAAGTTAAACAATAACATTATGATTATTATAAAAATTACTCATCTTCTCCTAGAGGTTAGCAAACTATACCCCACCAGCTGTTTTATTGGAACACGGCATCTAAGTCCATTTGTTTCTTTTTTTTTTTTTTTTTTTTTTTTTTTTTTAAATATATTTTATTGATTTTGTACAGAGAGGAAGGGAGAGAGATAGAGAGTTAGAAACATCGATGAGAGAGAGTCATCGATCAGCTGCCTCTTGCACACCCCCTACTGGGGATATGCCCGCAACCAAGGCACATGCCCTTGACCGGATTCGAACCCAGGACCCTTCAGTCCCCAAGCCGACGCTCTATCCATTGAGCCAAACCGGTCCCGGCCATTTGTTTCCATATTGTACCTGGTGAATGTCACACTAGAAGGACAGAGGGGAATATTTGCATTAGAGACCATATGGTCTGCATAGGCTAAAATATGTAGTATGTGATCCTTTTCAGTAAATGTCAATCCCTGCTCTATGTCATCCTTCTCTATTATCAGCGAATCAGAAATTAAAAATTTTTAGCTATTTCTTCTGATATTCAACTTTACATTTATAAATGTCATGTATATAGCTATTATCCTACATTGAAAGACAGACATACATGCACACACAAGTACTTCAAACAGATACCCAAACACTTCCCTTTTGCTTAAATCACAATTTAGGGTTTTATTATTTTTTTTTAATTTTCTGTTACTGTGTAATTATTTTTAACTGCTGACACATTTTTTTTTCTGTGCTATCTCTTGATTTTCCTGAATTAAAATTACTTTGATGTACAAAAATAAAACAATTTTAATATAACCTCAAATTGGTATAGCACTGGGACATTTCAGAAGGATTATACCCACAAGCCCCTAATATAAGAGCAGAAAAGTGTACAAATCTTAAATGTGCAGCTCAATAAAATTTTATAAAATGTGACCACTACCCAGGTCAAGATATAAGACATTAATAGCACCTGGAAGTGTCTCTTCATTTCCTCCAAATGATAGCCCCCAGTATAACCGGTTACTATTGCCATCATTATAGATTTATGTTCCTGCTTTTGAACTTGATGAAATGAAATCATGCAGCAATTATTGTACTGTATCTGATTTATTTCATGAAAGTCTGCAAGGTGTGTTTATGCGGTTGCTTGCAGATAGTTCTCAGTCCTCCTCATGATGGCTTTTGTAATAAACTGCCAAACCATCCTTCAAAGTGGCTAAACCATTTGGCTTTCCTACCAGCAGTGAAGGAAAGCTCCTGCTTTCTTCCTCTCCAGCAATGGTGCTGTCAGTGTTCTGGACCTGGGCCATCCTGACAGGTGAGCAGTGCTCTCTCATTTTAATTTTAATTTCTTTTGTTTTTGAAGGTGGGATTTTTTTATTATTATAAAAGGAAAAATAACTCCTCAGAATCTTAACGAACAAAAAGGAATATTTTACATTCAGAACAGACACCAGGATACAAAATTGTAAGTGTTTAACCCCAGTTCTGTCCCCTCCCCACTAAAATGAGACAGGAAGGAGACAGTGGAAGCAAAGAAGCAGTTCTGTGAGAGACTTCAAATCCCTGCAAATATGATTAAAATCTAAACTGGTTTTGCTTTAAAAATTTTTTTAATACATCAAAAGGCCTGTCTTAGTGGTATGCTCGTCCCCCAGAAAATAACCCAATCCCCCCTTGTCAGTAACATACATGTTCAAGTCGACCAGCCAACTCATATTTCTAAACCCCTGTGCACACATGTATTTTTATAAACCAAAGTCACAGGCCTCAGGTGACTGCTGCTGTTTGCTCCTGTTAGCCCACCCGTGTCCAGAAGGGCACAGATAAACCCGTACATGGTAGTGATGGTTTGACAGCCCATAACAGCCAATTTTCCAAGCACTGTCACCCTCAACCCCTACCTCCTCAAAAGGAGAGCCTTATTTCTAATTTGCCTCAAATTTGGTTCCCAGTGACCAGAATGGGCTTTCTCCTTTAGGAAAAGCACATATATCTGTGCGTGCGCACACAGACACATACACACACACACACACACACACACACACACACACACATATTGTTGTTTGTTTGTTTTTGCATTTAAATATGAAAACACTACTCTGATTTGTGTTATGAATGGAGGTCCAAGCAAGGAGAACTTTTTCTTCGAAGGTAGGGCTACCCATCCCATTCCTTTATGCTGAGCTTGCCTCCCAGTGAGGGCAATCAGCCCCAGGCCAGGGAAGCAGATTGCTGTGAAGGGGTCACAGTTGGCAGGTAAGAGGGCATCTTCCTGCCAGCTGCCCCATACTGGGGATGTGCCTGCAGCCAAGGTACATGCCCTTGACTAGACTTGAACTTGGGACCCTTGAGTCTGCAGGCCCATGCTCTATCCACTGAGCCAAACCGGTTAGGGCAGTCCCTGTGATCTTGACGCCAGTGGGCAAGCAGGCCCTGTAGTGAACCTTCATCATATCTCTGCCGTAGCTTCTGTCTGCCCCCACGCCGCAGTAGCATGGACCTTGGGGTCCAGGGAAGCCATTGGAAGGCCAACCAAAAGGGTGCCCATCTGTGCCCATGAGACTATACTTCTGCTCCATTCCAAACCAGGGATGCTGAGTGCTCACCATGTCTATTATCCGTTTGCAGGTATATCTTAAATCAGCCTCTTCGGGATTGTGGTTGCACTTTAAGACTTCATAGAACACCAGCTTGTTGGGTTCCTTGTGGAAAGGGTCCCAAAACATGGCAGCAGGAACAAGATACATGTCACTGTTGGAGCCTTCAGACTGCATAGTACTAGAGCCATCAAAATTCCACTCGGGCAACTCTTCTGTACTCCTGGGCTCACTGTCCAGATCCTGGTCTTGCATCGCAGTCCTTCTCCAGAACCATCAATCCGGATATGCAGAGCTTATCACCAACCGTTAGATTTAATATGGTTTTTAATTTCAATCATTGTATCTATTAGTTCCAGGATTTCTGTGTTTTTTATATATATTTTATTTCTCTATTGATCGCTCCCCCTTACCCTCACCATCCCCTACTTTCTATCTTTTCTGATATGTTCTTAAATATATTAATCATAGTTGTATTTTAAAGTATATTATTACTTCTGGTCTATTCCAATGTCTGTTTTTTCTCTCTTAGTTTTTTAGTATTTCTTCTATCTTCTAGCACAACTAGTAATTTTTTATTGAATGTTATATAGGAGATTAATTCAAATGGGGTCTATCCTGGAGTAATAGTGATCTTCATTCAAGACTTCCTAATTACAGATTTGTATGTGAATAATAAAACAGGCATATACACACATGGTATTTTCTTTAAAGTATTTTTTCCGTTTACCTATAGTAGACATTTACCATAAAGTGGGCATAATTGCACTCGTCATCATTCGTGCATAGTGAATTTACATTACTCAGAAACTCTCCCAGTTTTTGACCAGCAGATACTGCTTTGAGACCAGATTCTTCCTATCACTGCTAATCAAATGTTATGCTCTTGTTCAAAGGGGTGCCATATAGTTACTCAGTATATAAGTCTCTCTTTCCACAACCCAGCAGAATTTGTTATAAAGGTCAACAATGTCCCAATTTACTTTTCCCCTCTTTCTCTCTTTGATATGTGTATGCACACAGATGTTGCGTCAATATAGGGTCTAATCAGGAGACAAACCATATGAACCATTTTAACATATCATTTAAGTTATTGTTAACTAGATGCTGGAAAATGGAAAAGATAATTATTGACTACTTAGATAACCCACAGTAGTAGTTGTAAGATCAACTACTACCCCTAGAGCTATGAGAGAAAAAGAGGTAGATTGGAATTACCATAAATAAGGATCATGGTGGTGGGACCCCAGGGAGCTGATGCTAACATCTGGATGGTGCTGATATCACTGAGAGAGGGCGCTGATGCTGCTTATGCGAATGTTGTTCAACCTACATTTGCTACAATTGCTAGATTATTTACAGGAACTAAGTGCTGATGCATAATAAATGGAGTGATGATGAAAACAACAGAACAAAAAACAAGAAATATAAAACAAATAAGAAGGAACATTTTTCTTGTCCCTCTTCTAGCCTCTCAGTGTTCCTCTGACAGCCCCCAAGAAGGAGTCACCTGCAAAAGAAATAGCAACCTTATATTTCTCCCACTTTGGGATGCACATTTCGTTCACTTTTAAACACATTTACAATTGGCATGAATCTTAGAGTAAATGGCAATGTTTTTCTTTCTTAATGTCATGGAAAATAATGATGGTTCTTATACTCAATGATTTCTTCAGTTTCATGGAATATGGTATTTTTAAAAGCATAAAGTGTCTTCTATCACCAAGCTTTCTGACCCTGGTAATTACTGCTTTCTCTTAAGTTCTCATGTATCATCTGTTAAATAGTTCTTCAGTTTTGTAGGAATCCAGTGTTAATCTTTTTTACTTATACTTTCTGAATTCCTTTCCTCCTTTGTAACCTTCTCACATCTTCAGAATAATGGTAGCCTTTTAATGTTCCGCTAAACCCTTTCTTGGGAGTCACTGTTATCTCTTCTGCATTTCAGGCACTGAGCAGTGATTCTGAGATCACATAAGCAGCCTTGGTGTTTTGCCATTTGAGTCATATGGCCAGGAAACTCCCTTACAGAATTATAGTTCTCTTCTGTGTGAGTTTCAAGTTCCCTGTTTTATAGTATTTGTAACTTTTCCAAGTTTGCATGTGTTGTTTTAGGTTTGTGGCAATTTCTCATTACCTTCTCAATAGCACCGATTCTGACAACATGATAATAAATCTGTTGTTTTCTGGCTCTTTCTAGAGAAACTTGAAGCTGAAGATAGAGCCTTACTTCTACTTTAAAGGGCACTCTAAAAGTATTTTGTGTGAATTTTGTTGCATATTTTTTTGTTTATGATGTTTTGTGTGGCTCTGGAGTTACACTTCTTCATTTCATGTTCAATTTGGCTTGAAAATATTTGAATTAAGAAGAAATATAAAAAATATAAAAAAACGATGTGATTTACCAATATACAAAAAGAACAGAAATATCACCTTGTAACACTATTGAATAAAGGTGATTTTGCCATCTAAAATGGACTCTATATTATTTATTAGATGAGGTATTTAATTAGCTATTTCTACTTAAGAAACTGCTCCAAACTGAAGATTTTTGTATGAAAATCTCCATACTCAAGAAGACAAGTTCATTGTATATAATTTCTTCTGTTATTTCAGATGGTTTTAACCAAAATTGCATTGCTGTATAATATGTAACCATTTTCTCACATTTCTCTTTTTTCTCACTATTCATCTAGTCTTTTATAAGTTTCCTTATCTTCCACTCCCAAACCCTAAGCTTGTGACACATATTTTAGGTTTATATTTTACAGAAGAACCCCAACGGAGGATATGAATATCTATATTAGTTAATTACCACTACCTAAGGGGGAAAAAAAAAAAAACTCCCGAAACTTAGTTGCACATAATTATACTTGTGGGTGTTTGGGTCAGTTGAGGTTAGGTTGATCAAGGCTAGGCTTGGTTGGCCTTGGCTCTGAGATGCAGGTTGAACCCATGTCTCCTCCACATGTCTTTCATCATCTTTGGACCAAAATATTCTTTTCATGTTATTTTATGGCAATCAATGAAAGATGAGAGGGCAAGCCCCCAGGTACAAACATGCTTCAAACATTTACTTACTAGTATATCATGTCTGCTAATAGCCCATTGCCAAAGCAAACTCAATGGGCAAGGAAGTATATTCTACCCATAGGAGTAGGGGGTGGGGATGCATATTTGCTCAACAATAATTCAACTATCCTAAGGGTTAACCAGAGAGAAAAAAATAGAAATCTCAGGCAAAATCCCATGTTAGTTGGCCTTTCAGAATATCTTTCATTAAACAAATTCCAGTCACCTTTCTACCCACAGTTCAAGGACATGTGTTGGTCACGGTAATCCTAGCAGGAGTCTACTTACAGCATATTCATTTATGACCTGATGGTGGCACAAAAAGATTAGTCTTTAAGCTACATAGAGAGTGCTATGGACTGAATTGTGTCCCTCTCTAAATTCTTACATTGAAGCCTTAACTCCTGATGTGACTATTTTTGGAGATAGGGTCTTGAGGAACATATTATGATTAAATGAGATTATAAATATGGCATCCTACTTTGATGATACTGGTATCTTTATAAGAAAGGGAAGAGGGACTGTAAGGCTCTCTCTTTATGTGCACAGAGGAAAGGCCATGTGAGGACACAGTGAATAGGTGGCCATTTACAAACCAGAGGAGAGCTCTTACCAGAAACCAAACTTGCCACATCTTGGTTATGGAATTTCAGACTGAAAAATGTGAGAATATAAATGTCTCTTATTTAAACCATTTAGTCTGCACAATTTTGTTAGGGCAGCCAGAGCAGACAAATACAGAAAAATAATGTTGAAAAAGGGTAATCACAGGCAGCTGTGTATGATTTTAAAAAATTAACGGAAGACCACAAATTGAGCATGAGTTCACATTGTTGCAATATTGTTAGATATCGAACTCAGATCTAGGAGTAGGAAAGTAACAGAAATCTGATATATAAGAAATTTGGGAGAGGTAAGCCTTGAGGTGATTGAGAGTGTGCATGCTCTATTAAGGCTAAAATGCAACCATTATATAAAAAGGTGGCAGAAATAAAATAAATCCATTTGAATTCCGATTGCAGCCTGTCAGTTTGCACCCAGGACTCTAGACTACTCTCCTACCAGAACTCTTCCTATAATAAAAGTATTGAATCCTCAATATATCTTTGGGGATAATCCTCTTTTAGATTCATCTATATTCTGACCCATTTTAAAGCAATGATTCTGATTCTGTTTTCTGACTCAATGAGGAGGTGGAGAACCTAAAGAAAAATGTTTGAAAGTCAGTTTTGTAAGACAAACGTGAAAAAAACAAAACACCCACATTATTTAATAGATTGAAGAGTAAATGTTACCTTACAATGGACTTTAAGATAGATTAATTAGAATTGTGGTATACAAATAGTCCCCATCCCTATGGAGATTGAAACTGTAAGAAATCCATCTAAGGCTCACCAGGAGTAATGATCATTTGAAAACAATAACTAGGAAATAAATAGCTCTGATGACCTGTTGAGGCCCCTTATAAATTCATGTCAGCAAAGGATGGAGTGTTTCTAGTAGAATGTGACCCCATTAAAGGAAGCACAATGAGTGTTCAAGTCGTAAAAGGGAAAGGTACTGAAATAAAAATAGTAAATAGAAAAATTTCCTTCTTTACACATAAAATATATTAATAGTATTTATTTATTTATAGACACACATGAATGCATGCAACATAAATATGCATCTTCTTTCTGATATTTGGAAACAAAATTTTCTTGATGTAGCATGCACCCTCAGAGAAAAACCCAGGAGATCTCCCCCGAGCCTGAGCTATGGCTATTATTTGTTTAGAACAGAAGCCTTTGTTTGGATGGCTTCATAGCAAATAGACTCAAAAATACAAAGCAGGTTAAAAAAAAGAAAAGTTAGTAAATGACAACACAGGAAATGCACTGCCAGACTCATGTTACTAGACCAGTTAGTAAACCCTCTATCAGGCAGGCTAATCTTTTTGTAACAATAAGCATATATTTGCTTTTCTTTTTAAGTGCAGGTTTTGCAGGCTTCTGTGCTCCTAATTAGTGTTTTGAATTTGACTGTCTCTCTGATATGCTCTTTCCAGCTGATCCTTCTTCACTGTTGAGATTAAAGTAAAGAAAAAAAGAAGTTTTACTTGGTAAAATAATTCTAGGGTATGGAAACATCCCATCTTAAAGTTCTCTATGTATAAAAATATTTCACCACCTTCATTTTCCACAAGGTACC